CTTGTTGGATCTTTTGTTTAACACAGCGATTTAATTTATGACATAGTTTCAGTGGGTGTGTCAGCCTTGACCTAACCTATCCCATGAACTGCTACACCTGTAAACACTATAACGTTTGTTTTACCTATGTGTGCGTCTGTGTCTTATTCTTGTCACCCCATTGCCGTCTTCCACGACCCTTGATATATCTTTTTTCTTTTTTTTTTTAGCACCCACAGCTAAATCATACCCTCCACTCTCAGTCTCCTGTGTATCAGTATAACTGTGGTGCCGTTTTAGTGACTCAGGCTTGGCTTACCTTACCTAACAGCCCAAATTATTAAGAGCACTGTGCATTGTTAGTCCAGTTATTCCCAGGTTACTCACTTCTGGGAACAGTTAAGGCTTCAGAAAAGCCAAATATGGTAAGTATATTTTAATCTTTAATCACGAGAAGCTTTTAAGAAACTTTTAAGCTTTTAAGAAAAAAAAGTCAAGTTATTACATGGGAATGACTTTTTGCTCCTATGGACATCCACATTGATACCAGCTCCAGTTTACCAGGCTTCTCCACAACTGCTGGCGACTTCACTGTGTGAGGAGGACATTGAGAAACATTAGACCGAGAAGATACGGCTCGTTGCAACACAGCTCAGTAGAGCAGACAGAGTCCACAGTAATGGGCTCCGGTCAAGACTCTCTGTCTGGATCACAGCTGGTTTCCTAATTAAGGGGAGACTTTCCACATCTAGATAATTTAATGACAGCTGCTTACAACATGTCTGTCCATGAAGTGAACCTAGCTGTAATAAAACAAACTCTGAACAAGCAACTGTGTGATGAAGTACTTTGTGGTTACGAAAGAGAACCCATCCTTAGAATTACAGCTCTTTCGAAGACTCAGCGCTCCACAGTGAACATCATGGATTTGTCTGCTTAATACTGTGTTTTCTTCCCCAACTGGAAATCAGGAAGAACATGATCAAAAATGAGTCCGTAATTACAACTACATTGTGTTGGTGTGTTAACAGTATGACAGTATGATTCTATGACATGTGACCCAATGTTGGAGGTGAAACGACTGAAAGAAAACGTGCTAGTTGATGCTAGAATTGTTGGCCTCGATATCAACAGTTACACAAGTTAAGTTTTAGGCCCTGGATGGGACTTTCGACAGCAGGCTGGGGATGTTTTTTCGAGTCCTTATGGTAGTTTTACACGACCTCTACTGCCACCTGCTGGTAAGAAACAGCAGCTGAAGAACTTGCAAGGACATGACATGTTTTTTAAGCATCTTCTAGAAAAACTGCAGACTTTAACAAATACTTTGTAGAAAACACATTTTATTTTAATCAACCAGTTTTGTACTATGGTGCCAAAGATCACATCAGGCTAAACTGCCCAAAAAGTAATCTCCACTATCAGCAACAACAATGTCTGTCTTTGTTTTCCTTAGCACAAACATTCACACTGACAGAACACTGACGCCCGCAGCATTCATTTCTTGTATTTATGATGTAGGTGCATCACTGTTGTCTGCCCACTCACGAGAACTCAACAGCCGCTTTCCCAGGCTGCCTGCATCCAGTCATCCAGTCACAATCACCCCTTTGTGGTCAACTTATTGGAGGCCTAACTGGTGTTACTGCAATAATTACTCGATTCACTCATCAATATATGGAAAGAATATGAATTTGCAAACGGTCAAATAATTCAATGTGGCCAAAATGGTTCATATAGAAATAAAATATTCAGCAAATATGGCACAAAGAAAAGTGTAGAGCGTCCACTAGGTGGCGCCTTTGCCATGTCTTTAAAGAGTGAGAGAGGTCTAGTGACTGGAGGGATCAGTGTTAAATGTGATTAATTAGAAATGACTCTGTGTGCAGAAAATATAAATACGCAAACAAAATAATTTCATTTCCTTGGTTCTATACTTCAAACTCATTTTATCATCGCATATTTAATGTGGTGGCGGAAGCTATTTTGAAACCACGCTTAGCTTTGCTTCATTTCAGCAAATGTAAACTGCTCAGTGGTTTATTTGCAGGACCTGCCCACACAGAGCTTTCAATCCTATCCACTTACACTCAATCAATAACACCATTCCATTTATACAGGAATGACATCATGCAAGCTCTTATAAAAGCGCTGCTGCAAGTATTCTTCTTTTCAAATTCCTGGCAACTTTGGAAAAAGCAACAGTATATTATTGAATTCTGACTCATATGTGTCAGCCTGAGCCTTGCAAGCATTTCATTAGTTCCTTATTGCATTGACATGGGTGGGGGTGGGGGGTATCCCAAAGCGGATGTCAGAGCTTTTTGTAGTGTTTTGGGTGAAGTGGCAAAGCAGGAGGAGATGAAGGATGGTGCATGGCCTTTAGAGATGCAACCCAAGAGACAGGATGCACACAGAGTCATTGTCTCAGCAGGCTTAGTATTCAGCTCCCTTTTGCTCCATCACCATGGCCGAGGACCAAATCAATTCAGCCTGTTGGCTGGCAGGGGTACAGCTACCCAGTGGGTGCAGCCCACATACAAATACACCCAACACTGGTCTAGACACACAGAATGCAGTGCTGTGGTAGACTTCTTCCCACGCTACAATGTTACAGCTCTGAGCAGTGTTACTCCAGTGATGTGCTGTCAAGCCATTCCCCTCTTTGTGTCAGAGACATCTGGTGGCTGCACAAGAAGCTCAGCATGGCTGCTAACGTCTGATATGTGTGAAACTCTGACATAGGAAATGATATACAGGTGGCAGTGCAACACGCTGGAGTTTTAGTGCCTGTAGTGACTGGATTATGTCAAAAATGAGAAATAGTTGCTTCTTGCGCAAAGCTGTCACTTGTTATGTGACAACTGGCTAAAAAAATCCAAGGGTGTGCAAGAACTCTCGCTGTGAGTGACAACCTCAAGCCTGACCTTGATATGAGATACCGGGCTGCAGTCTCAGACAGTGAGCTATGTCTGATGTCCACGTTGGGATAGCGGCTGGCACTCACCTTGTTATCCATCTGTGTGTGTGTGTCTGTGTATTTATATGTGCTGCTGGCCAGAAAGAGAACACCATCTACTACCATATGCTTCAGCCCCCTGTAGTGCCAAGGTTCTTCTTTCCATATCTTGTGCTCTGGAGTTTTAGAACACACCGAGGTCCCCGGCTGATCCCAGGATGCCACTTGTGTTTCCAATATTTCTCAAAAGATAAAGAGGTCAGAACAGACCAATGGCGTTCCACGATTTTGCATAGTGCCGTTTAAGTTCTGCCTTTTCTCATAAGAGACCAGCACTGTATGTAAACTGTATGTAAAGTTTACCTCAGGAAGATAGTTTGAAAACCAAAGGAGCTTCAAAAGTTTGAAACATCCGATGAGAGAATAAACCAAAGAAGAGAACACCAAGGAGCAATGATCAATCACCTTATTTTTTATTATTAATTTTGAAGCAAAAAAATAAAAAAAAAATCTGAGTCAAAGACATTTTCCTTACTGCACAGACTTTACCTGCTGGTTCCTTCCGCTGCTATCGTCTGATTTGACATCTTTGTATAAAATTTCTTAGACTCAGGTGATTCATGTGGTTTAGTTTGTCAATATGGAGTTTTTTTTAATGATATGAACAAAATGCCTCCTGATGTGTGTGAATGGTGAAGTATTGCTGCCCTTCAGGGAAGGCAGTAGGTTGTATAGTTATCTCCTGATTGGGCAAAATCACTACCCTGAAACCACACAACCTACTACCTCACCCCGTACGAACATCAGTAAAGGCCCTACAGGCTGGGTAAAATCTTTGGTAATGATAAAAGCGTTATGATGACATATACAATCTGTAAATGAATATACAGAATTTGACAAAAACCATACCTACATGAAAAGCAAACACTGAGATTTTTGTTGAGTTTTAATTACTAAAACCCCCCAAATTGTGATGATTTCTTTTAGATTTTTACAAGTGCAAAGAAAATGAACAAAGAGACTGGCGGCTAAACAGGAGGAACCTTTGGAAACGATTATGCAGCGCAAAGTGTCTGCTGAGATATGAAGAGGACATTTTTGCTGTTGTTGTGTTTTACACAAAAAGAATGAACGCTTACAATGAAAACACAGTTGTACTTTATTGGCAATCAACGACTTCCACAAAGCGGCTACAGTCCTTAATAACTTTCTGCTATCAAACTCGGGCTACTGAGCCGTTAGCAAGCAGTGCGTCGATCTGGATCCATGCACTCCACCAAAGGCATCTGACGACATTACAGCCACTTCAGGAAAGACAGTAAGTTGTATAGTTATCTGACAGGAAGGGTACGACCCTAAAACTATACAACCTACTACCTCACCCCAAAGGACAGTCTTTAAAAACAAAGTCCTTTCAGGTCCCCGTTCATGCAGGTAATCCGCTTTGACAAGGCTCACTGAACACAGAACAGCGGTTATGATTCACAGAAACATGCCACTCTCCTCTGGGACACCTCACCACCACGGCCAGAGTCTGTGCGCTCAAAACACAATGTGACAACTGGGTCTCCGGGTTCATGGCCCGGGCTGAGGGGGGTAATTCAAATGACCCAACAAGGCACACATGTCTCAAGCAAATTGCGCAGCCAAGACATTTCCATATTCAAATGCAACCAGTAAATAACTTAAATGGTATATTCATAATGAACATTGTATAGCAAACACGCTAACCTCAAAAACACTCAGAAACATTATTATATTCACAAATATCACATAGCTTTTAGAAGCTAGGGTGGGTGTGGCCAGTCACATGACAAATAAGCAAATATCATTTTAGATCAAGTTCTGGCAAACCTATATACTATTAAGATCAGTGTTCAAAGTAACGTATATTAAACAGAGCTATGCTGTTTCCAGTTTGGCAGCACTGTTTCCTGTGGTTCTGAGCGATAACCTTGCTCACTAAAGTTGAGAGTGGGAGAGCTCAAGCTAGCTCATATCCTGGCCCACATGTGTGGAGCAGAGGTCTGCAGCTGCTGCTGCCTCCGTTAATGTTTCTCACCTGCTATATAACATGCATCGAGAAAAGGGGCTGGAAGGGCCCACTGGCCTATAACCTCCTCCCTCCATCATGGTTTCAGCAGCATGTCAGGTAGTCTCCATGTGGAAAAACCCAAGAGGGAAAATCTGTTACTTCTGCAACAAAGACAAAAGGGGAAACAGAAAAATACTCCTGCATGATGACTTTTAGATTTGACATATGTGAGATCAATTGCAAACACTGCAGCCAGTTCAAACGCTGCATTTTGGACCTTTGGGTGAAGACGTGTCTGGCTTTGCTTGCAGTTTGTATATGGGGGTTATATTTATTTACAGTGCGGTTCATGCTCATGTGTTCTTTGATAAAACCACACCATTGTGCGTGTTTCGTGCCATACAGTCGGCTGATTACTGTATATAATCTAATGTACTGGGAAGACAGAAGTGTACAGCACAGCACAATACAAAGCAGTATGTCTTGAGCTGAGAGGCCCCATTGCGTCTGCTCAGTGGTGAGTCTGAGGTTCCCTGCATTATTCAACACCACCTTACTTACACCATAGAGCTGTGGGTTGTAAATATGCGCAGGCACACACCTGTACAGTATAACAGACACAAAAGGACTAAACAGATACTTTGCAGACAGAAACAACCTGAGAGAAGAAATATGGCAACCTACAGTTAGCACACATATACATTTGCACACACATTTAGTAATGACAAACGGAGCTTGCATAATTTACAAGGACTTAATTTACTTATGATGGACAACACTTAAATTCATATATTTAGATGCTCTAGAATAACACTGCTTTGCAGAAGGCCTGAACTTAGAACAAACTCCACTGCGGAGCTCAACTTGCAATGATTTTAGGACCTAAATCATAGAGAAAACCGTATGCTAAAGCATATACCTCATTTTATTTTGCAGTCCTGCAAAACTCTCTGTGGCGCGGGGCCCAGACTTCATAATGCAGGGTCAAGACACATTGTCCTCTACATCTGCTGATTGAACATACTTTAATCTAATATAGTATATGACCCTGGGGTCCCGACCAATAAATAATGAAAAATATCATTTTCAAGTGAAGTCAGAGCCAGTTGCTATCTTCCAGTGACAGGAAAATATTCACGCTTACACCCACGCACATGTACTGTAGAGAACTAACATGAAATGCAAGCATATATACACACACCCACAGGTCCATACTCATGTTGCACACTTGTTTTTTTTTTACCGCAGTTATAGAGGACAATCTGGAACTCTTCTTTGGTTGTCGTGCAAACTCAACAAGCTGGCTCTGTAACTAAAGTACTGCTTCAGCCTCACACTTCCCTCAGCTCAAGTTCTGCTTTCTGCACATCTTTGCCTCACAATGTCCCATAAAACACATATATGGATGCACACGTGAAACCAAATCTCATACAGAAGGTCACAGTTTGAAACACATGCACATAAGCTTGGAAAAAGGAAGTAAGGTAAAACATTTTGCTGATTTATCTAATCATATTTTCACACAGTGTTCACAGCAAAGCTAGGCGCTGCTTAAAAACTCACTTTAACTTAATCACACTTGAGTCTAAGTGCTACATTGCCAATCAGTTCAGCTATAACCTTGCAACCTGATCTTTGAGGTTCTGGTGGTTTAAGGTCAGCGAGTGGGTAGATTTTTTTTAAAGACCACTTTAATGTAATATCCAACCTCAGATTCTTATTATTCATTCCTGCAAATTACAAATTTCCATCATGTTTTGTCGTTTTACTGACCACTCAAAGCTTTACTGTATCTCATCTATTCTGCACTTATAGAACATACCAGCATGAATATACTGTCGTTCATTACCAGAACCTTCTGGCTGTGAGGCAGCAGTATTAACCTCAACAACATTGTATCACCGACATAAAAGATGGTTACAGAAAGAAATGTTAGTATATATTAAATGCTCTTCATTTACCTAAAATAAATAAATGATAATACAAACCACTACAACAGTAAAATCAATATTTAAACCTTCTCGCCTTTTATTTGGTCACAGTCAAGACTGACTTCTGATGTTTCACCATAAAAGCTAGAGGTGACAGTGCAGTAGCACTAGCAATGTAGTTTTTACTGCAAGGGGATATTTCTGGCACTCAGAAGGATCTACAAAGTTCATTAAAGTCATGCAATTTGCATTTTTTGTTTCTATACTTATGTATAGAGGCAAATAGTTGACTTTTGGCCAAAGATGTAATAAAGTTTACGACGCACAAGTACAACTATGTTGCATATCCAGTGACCTAGTCAAACCGACGAGATCTGCAAGTAGCACGAAATTTCAAGCGGTAAATTTGAAATCATATGCTTACTTATTGGCTAATATCTAATCAGACAATTACTACATCATCTGTACTGAAAGTCAATGTGGACACAGGTTTTCTATAGCATTCATTTAACCGTTTGTTTGATAACCAAAAACTACCAGGCCAACCTTCAAGAATAATAAAATAAAACAAAAAGCTTCTTACTTGCCACAAGGGGTCACCACAGCAGGTGGCTCTGCATACTTTGTCAGAGTTAGATGCTAGATACAAGCCCTAAAGGGATGTATGTCTCCAGCTGGAACTGAACAAGTGCCCTTTGACTTCCCAAGCATATGTGTTAACCACTACACCACTGGAGGGTCTTCCTCGTGTACAAAAATCCTGATGGGTAAAAAAAAAGAAAAAAAGAAAATACAATAATATCTATAAAAAACATTGTATTCAGGGTAAAAAGATCACTCACACACTACACTATAGTTCAACTTTGCAAGTACACCCATACACACTCAACATGGTGACATTAGTGTACAGTCTCTAGTCACAAATGATGTGGTCAGAAATACCTGTTTTTCTTTTTATGTCCTGCTGCAGCAGAAGTGGTGCAGACACGAGGAATCTTGTAGATAGACAGGGTGGACTATTCACCCCCCACCACCCTCGATACAGATAGCACAGCAGTCATGACCCATCTATTTATACCAGGGCCAAGGGGCAGGCAGCAGTAGGAGGAGGACAGGAGCTGGGGGAAGAGGAGAGGCTGCTTGGGCAGGTCCTGTTACACATGCCAGGGGGAATGGCTGGGGCAAGCCACAGGGGGATTCTGCTCAAAGTCAGACAGGCTGACCTCCCCGTCACCTCTGCATGAGGCAGATACTGAGCTTGCAAACCTTGTGCAAGTGTGTGTTAGGAATGAAAGAACAGGGAGTTCAAAGTTCACATCAATAAGTTTGAATGTACAGTGTGTGCATAGCGCGTGTTTGTGATGCTGCAAGAACACATTAGCGCATGTGCACTGAACGCACTTGACACTTGTGGTGTTTGTGCATGCAGATGAGCAAATGCATACATGTGCAAGTGTGCATGTACTCACGCCAACGTGGTTAAAGTGTGTGTCTGCCTGTAAGACTGCGAGATGAACTGGCCCCACTGACTTATACCCCTCCAACCCCTCCATCCCGCAGCAGAGCCATAAACATGCCAGGTGAGGAGGGCTGGATTAGGCAAACTTAGCTCATTCCAGTGTGGCCCTGCGGCCCCAACTCTAGGGGTAAAAAACAAATGAGACCCCAATCACTGTAATGACAATGTACACAGCAGGGGTTTCCCACACCACTCAGCCCAACCTTGCCAGCTGCTTCTCATCTCTCTCACGCAGTGTACAATTGCACATACACAAAGAAACATCCACACATTTGCATGCATATACACACAGGCTGCAGGATGCACAGCAAGACGAAAACGGACTTTTAATTCATTTGAAAGCCTGATGCTTAGCCTTGCCCACCCCAGCTGTAAAACTCAGAAACTAGTCTTACTTGTTATCACATATCGTCCACCTGGGCCTCACACAGAGTTTCTGTCTGATTTCTCAGACTTTTTATCTGATTTTAGTTCTCAGCTCAGATAAAATAATTATTGTGGGTGATTTTAACATCCATGTAGATGCTAAAAATGACAGCCTCAACATGGCATTTAATCTGTTATTAGACTCAATTGGCTTCTCTCAAAATGTAAAAGAACCCACCCACCACTTAACTTGAAAGGGGCCTTTAACATATGGCATAGAAACTGAACATTTAACAGTGTTTCCTGAAAACCCTCTCCTGTCTGATCCTTTCCTGATAACATTTACATTTACAATAATTGATTACACAGCGGTGGAGAGTAGACTTTATCACAGTAGATGTCTTTCTGAAAGCGCTGTAACTAAGTTTAAGAATATAATCCACCCACTGTTATCATCTTCAATGCCCTGTACCAACATAGAGCAGAGCAGCTACCTGAACGCTACTCCAACAGAGGTCGATTATCTTGTTAATAATTCTACCTCCTCACTACGTATGACTCTGGATACTGTAGCTCCAGTGAAAACTAAGGTCTCAAATCAGAAGTACCTGACTCCGTGGTATAATTCTCAAACACATAGTCTAAAGCAGATTACTCGTAAGCTGAAGAGGAAATGGTGTGTCACAAATTTAGAGGATCATCATTTAGCCTGGAGAAATAGTTTGTTGCTTTATAAGAAAGCCCTCCACAAAGCCAGAACATCTTACTATTCATCACTGATTGAAGAAAATAAGAACAACCCCAGGTTTCTCTTCAGCACTGTAGCCAGGCTGACAAAAACTCAGAGCACTGTTGAGCCAACAATTCCTTCAACGCTAACTAGTAATGACTTCATGAACTTCTTCACAAATAAAATTTTTATCATTAGAGGAAAAATGACCAATAATCATCCCATAGATGTAATATTATCTACAGCTACTCTTAGTACCATTGATATTAAGTTAGACTCTTTTTCTCCAATTGATCTTTCTGAGTTAACTTCAATAATTACTTCCTCCAAACCATCAACGTGTCTTTTAGACCCCATTCCTACAAAACTGCTCAAAGAAGTCCTGCCATTAATTAATTCTTCGATCTTAAATATGATCAACCTATCTCTAATAATCGGCTATGTACCACAGGCCTACAAGGTGGCTGTAGTTAAACCTTTACTCAGACCCAGCAGTCTTAGCTAATTATAGGCCAATCTCCAACCTTCCTTTCATATCAAAAATCCTTGAAAGAGTAGTTGTCAAACAGCTAACAGATCATCTGCAGAGGAATGGTTTATTTGAAGAGTTTCAGTCAGGTTTCAGAGCTCAGCACAGCACAGAAACAGCTTTAGTGAAGGTTACAAATGATCTTCTTATGGCCTCTGACAGTGGACTCATCTCTGTGCTTGTCCTGCTAGACCTTAGTGCAGTGTTTGATACTGTTGACCATAATATCCTATTAGAGCAATTAGAACATGCTGTAGGTATTACAGGTACTGCACTGCAGTGGTTTGAATCATATCTATCTAATAGACTCCAATTTGTACATGTAAATAGAGAGTCCTCTTCACACACTGAGGTTAATTATGGAGTTCCACAGGGTTCAGTGCTAGGACCAATTCTGTTTACATTATACATGCTTCCCCTTAGGCAGCATCATTAGAAGACATAGCATAAATTTTCACTGCTATGCAGATGACACCCAGCTCTATCTGTCCATGAAGCCAGATAACACACACCAATTAGTTAAACTGCAGGAATGTCTTAAAGACATAAAGACCTGGATGACCGCTAACTTTCTGCTTCTTAATTCAGATAAAACTGAGGTTATTGTACTCGGCCCTGAAAAGCTTAGAATTATGGTATCTAACCAGATTCTTACTCTGGATGGCATTACCTTGGCCTCCAGTAACGCTGTGAGGAACCTTGGAGTTATTTTTTACCAGGATATGTCCTTCAACGCACATATTAAACAAATATGTAAGACAGCTTTCATCCATTTGCACAACATCTCTAAAATTAGAAATATCCTGTCTCAGAGTGACGCTGAAAAACTAGTTCATGCATTTATTACTTCCAGGCTGGACTACTGTAATTCATTATTATCAGGATGTCCAAAAAACTCACTGAAAAGCCTTCAGCTAATCCAAAATGCTGCAGCAAGAGTGCTGACAGGGACTAGAAAGAGAGAGAATATTTCTCCTGTTTTGGCTTCCCTTCATTGGCTTCCTGTTAAATCCAGAATTGAATTCAAAATCCTGCTCCTCACATGCAAGGTCTTAAATAATCAGGCCCTATCTTATCTTAATGACCTTGTAGTACCATATCACCCTATTAGAGCACTTTGCTCTCGCTCTGCAGGCCTACTTGTTGTTCCTAGAGTATTTAAAAGTAGAATAGGAGGGAGAGCCTTCAGTTTTCAGGCCCCTCTTCTCTGGAACCAGCTTCCAGTTTGGATTCGGGAGACAGACACTATCTCTACTTTCAAGATCAGGCTTAAAACTTTCCTTTTTGCTAAAGCATATAGTTAGGGCTGGACCAGGTGACCCTGAATCCTCCCTTAGTTATGCTGCAATAGATGTAGGCTGTCGGGGGATTCCCATGGTGCATTGAGTTTTTCCTTTCCAGTCACCTTTCGCACTCACTATGTGTTAATAGACCTCTCTGCATTGAATCATATCTGTTATTAATCTCTGTCTCTCTTCCACAGCATGTCTTTATCCTGTCTTCCTTCTCTCACCCCAACCGGTCGCAGCAGATGGTCACCCCTCCCTGAGCCTGGTTCTGCCGGAGGTTTCTTCCTGTTAAAAGGGAGTTTTTCCTTCCCACTGTCGCCAAAGTGCTTGCTCATAGGGGGTCATATGATTGTTGGGTTTTTCTCTGTATCTATGAAGCGCCTTGAGGCGACTTTTGTTGTGATTTGGCGCTATATAAATAAAACTGAATTGAATTGAATTGAAGACAAAGGTCTACCCAGAAAAAAAGCTTGAAAGCAGGTGTCTCACACTGTCGCAAATCTGGGCCCCCTGAGTAATGGTGCCTGTCTATGTTTTCAATGACTCTACAGATTATTGCTCAAGACATTCAAAATTACAGTTATCAGAGGGCACTTAACAATGAGAATTTATTATTTATTCAAAGGTGGATGGTTGGTTTTATTTTGCATAGGTGGTACAGAAGTGCATGATTTCACTTTAAAATGATGTTAACCCTCACGTTATGCTTTGTGGGGTTATTTCTATGTATGCTCCCTCACCTTCTTCTTCTTAGGACACTGGTATTTTTATAGATACAGGTCTTAAGAAACTTGAACTGTGTTAGTTTCCCATAGTGGGTTACGTTGATACCGAGTTAAATAAATGTATAAAAATACAAAAAAAGTAACCTTTTTTTGCTCATCGAAGTCAAAGTCTTAATCTTCGTATTGCCACTCTAAAGAGCTCTGGTGAAATGTGCACTGCCATGTGGCTGCTGGTGACCTGCAAGGCCTCTGTCTATTAGAGGAAGGCTATAGCTCTGACACGTCTACATGCACTGTGTTCAGCGCCGGCCTGCTCGCAGGGCCCCTTTCAAATGGGCAGTGCCCCTTTGAGCGGCATCTGTCACCAGCTATATTTAGAGGGTTGAACAAATACCTTTCTCCCTGAATATGAACTTCAGCTGACAGACAGCAGGCCAGAGCAGGCAGACGGGGATCTGCACAGTTTGTAACCTTCAAGAGCCTGTAACTCTCAGGCTACAGCTGCGTTTAGTCAGGCTCACCGCTGAAATCTAACGCTGTAAATACAGCGCAGTCAACCATAGTTAGCATTGATTTGGCAGAAGGTTTTAGCACCAGTTCCTACAGTTCCAGGATAGCTGCCAGCATAAATGGGAATATACAGTTATATATCCTGATAACAACTTTTAATACCCCCCCCCACACACACACACACACACACACCTACCCACACCTAAACAGTGAGGTATAAAAGAAAAATGACTGAATGAACT